TTCCCTTGGCTGTTGGCGAGGAAGACTTCCTGGAAGTGTGTGGTCTCCAGGGTGTTTGGACTTCCGCTCAGATACCGGATCCTCCGTGTCCCCCATCACTGAGGCGGAAGAGTCGTTGGTTAAGCCATTGCTCTCCGCGGAACCCATTTCTCTGCTGCTCTGCACCGTCAGGACAAGAGTAGTGAGACCCACCTTCACTGGGGCATCTAGGGATGCCACCGTGGCCAACCTTAGAGAAGGTGATGACACGTGGGTGCCGGGAAGCCGCTCGGAGACCTTGGAGGAGCTCCTGGGGGCCTCCTGGGCGCAGACTTCATCTACATCGATGACTTCGACAACATCCCTATGACAGAGGGCGCTATTTCCCCTGATCATCCTTGGCTCAGGACCCATAGAGTTACAGGGATATTCCGGCAGAGGCATCTGAGAATCTGACCGCCCATATGCATTCAAATGTTGGTAAACTTCTTCCGGCAGATCCGGCATGAATGCTGCGTCTTTACCCACGTGTTGGTTGGGTAGACCCCGAGGTACGTCTTCAGGCTGCCTTTGGTGGAGAAGGCTGGATCACAGACCTTACACTGGAACGGCCTCTCCCCGGTATGAGTACAGTGACGCCTCTCGAGGGAGCTATCGCAGCTTAGGACAGGGTAGCAAATGAGACATTCGTTGGGGTTGATGATGGTCTTGTGGGTGTTCTCTACCAGCTGCTGCAGTTTCAGGGTCTCTGACCCCAGCTCCAGTGTCCCACTCCCTTGGAAGCCACCAACCCTTGGGGAATTATGGTTTGCTTCCATCCCAGATAGGACAAATCCATCCTCACTTTCTGGAGAAGGCCTGGAGTGCAGGCAGTTAGGCAGTGAGCCATCCATGAGATCCTTGGGGTTAGTCCCAGAAGAGAGATTGAGGAATGGGCTGAGTTGGGGGTACTGTATACTTACTTCTGCGGTGATGGGTATGCAGGTAAATGGACAAGGTCTGTGGTTATTTAGGGGCCTGTTTTGTATTCTCCCAACCCTGAACCCAGTTTTCTTTTGTTTTTTGAAAGTACTTTTTTTTTAAAGCCACGGTTGTAGAATTCCAAATTTTTTTCAGCCTTGGAACCTTAAATAGGATGCTTTCAAGAAGACTGATTTTAGTCATTAAAGAGTCAGTGCGTGAGTGTTGCTGCTTATTTAACCACAGCTCAGGTGGTGCCCCAAAAGCGCCAAGATCTTCCAGATGCTTTCCAGATGCCTTCTTCTCCCTAAAACCAGGAGAGGTGAACACCTGAGCAGAGAATCTCAGATGACATAGCTTAGCTCACCAGTGCCTACCCTGTTGAAGAGCTGGGTGTCCATTCTTGAAGAAAGAAACTCAAGGAAGAGTGTCTTTTCTTACTACATATACTAGTAAGTACATGTACTAATTTGTACCGAAATGCCCTTGATTGTGACTAAATGCCAAATGATTGTGAAGATTTTTTTTTTTCTGGTATTGCATGAATGCTGCCACGTTGGAACAGGCAAGTACTAGATGTGAAAGCTCTAATTTACCTACCTCATTCATGTGTCATTTTTTAAGCGATTAGTCTCTGTTTTCCTATTTGATGATTGCTGAACTGCTCCTAGGCCCTGTGGGAAACCTAAGAGTTGATATATTGGTGGGAGCAGCTGGAAGTTCAAGATATTGTTGTGAATTCCTTTTTTTCTTAATTCCTTTTCTATACAGATGATATTAAGCAGACAACAAAGCATTACTTTTGTGGATTTAACAAAGAAGGAGAAAGACTCACATTTCTGGGCGGAGAAGTCTTTACCCCTCTGTGTTTAAGAGTGGATCATGACTGTTCTCAAGTCTGTCTTTCAATAATGGCACTTGACTTTAGAATCCAAAGAAATTTTTTGTTTTGCCAAGTTGTGCCTTTCCTCCTGGAATTGTAAGTGAACACAATGGTAGTCCCCATTCACACTGTGAAGTGGCTATTATTACAGAAAATACATAGAAGCTTTCTCACTTGTTAAGTTAATAATGTCTTGTGAATGTATGATTTACAGAGAAATCCCTATGGTTTTTACCTGCTGGTGCTGTCTGTCAGAGAATAAATTTGGGATGGTTCTTTTTGTTGTTGTTGTTAATACATTTATTCTCATTTTGCTCTTGTATTATTCCACTTATCAAGGAAAATAGAAATTGGTCAAAAACTCTACCAAAGATTTTTCAAAGATTTAAATAATTAATTCAAGTCTATGGGGAATCTAAAGTTGAAATTTTAACCCAGGAAGCAGCCATTTCATGTCTTTCTGTGTATCTGACCACCCATCCTAAAGTTATGCATGTAATTTTCCATGTAATTTTGTTTTATTTTTTTCGTAGTCCTGCTTACTGAGTTAAATTCTTTTGTTCATTCATTTTTTTCCCTTATTTATTATTGTCTCTGAACCTGGGTTTAGAAATGAGACTTCTCAGAGCAGTGGCCTTGGATAGCTATTCTCCTGGGATTTCTAGCACTTACAACCTTGTCTGGCATGTAATAGGAGTACAGGAAATAAGTTAGTGTTGGTGCAGTTGATATTTTTTGAAATGTGCACATGGACAATGTCACAAAATATTATATGAAAGGAGGTTCTCTGGTTCAATAACTTTAGGAAATCATATATCTTACATTTCTTCATGGTGACATTCAATGTACTTTAGCCTATTAAAGGCTGAGTGTGTTGACTGCTCAGTCGTGTCCAACTCTTTGTGACCCCGTGGACTGTAGCCCACCAGGTTCCTCTATCCGTGGATTTCTCCAGGCAAGAATACTAAAGAGGGTAGCCATTCCCTTCTCCATGGGATCTTCCTGACCCAGAATTGAACCTGGGTCCCTTGCATTGCAGACAGAATTTTACCATCTGAACTACCAGAGCTGCCCTCAGAATCCAGAAGTAAAATGAGTTGTTTAACTTTGCTTAGCAGAGCGTTTTCCAAATTGTGTGTCATACATTGCTTGTGAGTAGCAGGCCAGCGTCTTGCCAAAAATGAGCAATCTGACAAATAAATCCTAAAGAAGTCATGGCAGACTCAGCAAAACATACAGGCCTTAGCAGATTGTGGAAATGTTTCATGGACCTGAATTCCCAAGTCTCCAGTTCCTCCTGGGAGACACAATGGAATAGCTCATGGTGCTATTCTGCTTACCCTGGAAGGGGCCTTTCTGGTGTTCTTCATGCCTCTTACATGTCACTATGAAACCTCAGCCTAATCACCTAACACTGGTGCAAAAGTTACTTTTTGCAAGCTGAAGCTCCTGGATTTCACATCTAAGCTTAGGATAAAATTGCTCCCTATAGCCCCATCCATAGAAAACTACTTATAAATATGACCAGGCATCAAAACTGTGGCATTCCATTAAACCTAGAGTGTAATGAGCAGTTGCAGGACATGCACAATTGTTCACGTGCAGTGTCTGAAAACCTTTTTTAAAAAACAAACATTATGAATGTTTGGGAATCCCAGGGAACTAGTGTCACGTGTAAATATTTTAAAAACACTTTGCTAGGCAATGCCATGAATGTATATACATTGACTGAATATTTGGGGTGAAAATACATTGACAATGTCTCAATTTTCACTGCTATATCATGTAAATGTAATCAGTGCCAATTAACTTGATACTTTTCAGGTCATCCCGACCTGGAGGTAAAAATTGGATCACTTTTTATTATTTGAGAAAAAAATCTTCAAGATAATACAAAATTTTGGATTTCATTAACTTTTCCTTTTATGTTGCAAAATTGAGCCATTTTATCACTTCCTGTCACTGAGCTGTAGGAAGGAGAAAGGCTTTATTCCATCACTCCCAAATTGGCATTGATTTCTCTCCTCCTTTATGAAATCCCAGAGGCTATTTTCCTTTATGTATTTATGGCAATCTTTCTGACCCATAGGCCAGAGCATTTGGCTAAACTTATTATTCTATGGTTTAGTTAATGAGTATAACCTTGCTGCAGAGGCAGAATGCATCTAGGGGCTAGTTTCTCTAGCTTTTAGTCACAAATAATGGCGGCAATGGAAGGTTTTGCATCATTACGGATAATTCCTCTGAATTGATGCAGCATGCTGATTGCTTCAATAAGAACTACAGTGAGAATGATTCACAGAAATCATCTATTGCCAAAAGCCCAGGAATGACCCAGGTCGAAGTATAGCCCACCACAAAGAGATGAGAGATGCCTTTCAAAGAGCAAGGCAGCAATGTACTGGGTACTTTTCATCTTTGCATTTTGTTGAAGGATCCAAATAGACCTGTGTACTTATTTCAAAGACTGTTTAGGTTCCTGAGAAGCAGGCAAAATAAGATTCACAGTGGTCCCTTTGCATTAAATCACAGATTTTTTGAAGTCATCATGATCCTTTGTAGTTCACAGAAATGTTCAAAATATATGTTGGTTCTTTGTCCATAAATATAGAGAGAATCTGACTCTGGTCTCAGCACGTTAACTTATTACATGATTTCCCAAACTAGGATTGAAAAACTGAACTAAAAATGAAAAGGTCCTCGGTGGCTGGTGGAAAACAAGATTAGTTTGGAATAACTCTAGCAGTTCTCCAAACTAAAGGTCTTTTTAAAGTTTCCATCCAAAATACCCTTATTCCAAATCTTGCCCTCTATAACTCCAGTCAGTCTGACATAGAAATATGCACACTGTGTTATGTAGGAAATGGATTTTTAAATTGATTGTCATTGGAAGGAGAAAGAATGAGAGAGAGAGAGAGTGACATGGGTGAAGGTCAGCCTATGTCACTTTCATATTTTATTCTGAAAGGTGAGGATGTTATAGCATTTCCTTTAATGAGTTTCATGCCTGTCTTCCATATAGTACTTCCCTATACCCTTACAGATAGTTAAATAATATTATGAATGAATGTGATTCTTCTCATTTTTCTTCAACAAAGTTCAACATACAGTCCTAAGTTCTCTTCTCTATTATTGTTCACTAGTTAATATCAGCAATGCATAGGCCATCAAATGAGCCACTCATCCAGTGTGATGTTGTCCTTATAAAATGGGGACATTTGGCCACACACACACAGAGGGAAAACGCCAGTGAAGATGAAGGCAGAGCTTCAGCTGATGTTTCCGTGAGCCAAGGAGGGCCAGCAATTGCTAGCAAACAACTAGAAGTTACAGAATAGGCAGATTCTTCCTCACAGGCCCCAGAAGGTGCGTATCCTGCAGATATCTTGAGCTAAGACTTCAAACCTCCAGACTGTGAGATGATAAATGTCTGCTCTTTAAGCCATTTAATTCATGATACTTTGTTCTAGCAGCCCTGGGAAACTAGTACATCTACCTACCCACCCCCCAAAATCAACAGTAACTGCTGAACAGAAAACAAATGAAACAACATCACTGTCTTTTAGTGCATCTTAATTCCTCAGGCTGGAATCCTAGGAGTCATTCTCTCCACTTACCAGTGAATCAAGATAATCCAGACTTCTTATCCATAAAATTCTCTCACATATTTGAGAATTTATGCCCCACTTAAAATTTCTTTTTTCAAAGATGTGCAGCCCCAATTCCTTATGACTCATTTTGAAAGCACTCTGATTATTCTTATCTTCACTACTATATATTCTCCAGTTTGTAAATTTTTTTTTTTAGTTTGTTAAAGTTCTTAATTAGAATCATTGATAAAAGGCAATCTACTTAATGGGAGACAATATTTACATCACTTTACCAATAAGGGATTAATATACAAACTATATAAACAGCACATACAGTTCAGTATCAAAAAACCCCACCTAACCAAGAAATGGACAGAAGACCTGAACTGACATTCTTGCAAAGAAAATATACAGATGGCCAACAGGTACATGAAAAGATATTCAATGTCACTAACCGTAAGAGAAATGGGAATCAAAACCACAATGAGGTATCACCTCACACCTGTCAGAATGGCAATTATCAAAAAGTTTACACAGAACAAATGTTGACAAGGATGTGGAGAAAAAGGAGCACTTCTACATTGTTGATGGGGATATAAATTGGTTCAACCACTAGAAAACAGTATGGAGGTTCCTCAAGAAACTAGAAATAGATCTACCATATGACGCAGCAATACTATCCCTGGACATAAATCTGAAAAAGATGAAAACATGCATGTACCCCCAGTGTTCATAGCATTTCTCACCTGCTTGAAAGTACACAATTCAATGCTGGTGAGTACATCAAGGCTGTATATTATCACCCTGCTTATTTAACATATGCGGAGTACATCATGAGCTGGGCTGGAAGAAGCACAAGCTGGAATCAAGATGGCCGAGATAAATATCAATAACCTCAGATATGCAGAAAGCACCACCACCACCCTTATGGCAGAAAGTGAAGAGGAACTGAAAAGCCTCTTGATAAAAGTGAAGGAGGAGAGTAAAAAAGTTGGCTTAAAGTTCAACATTCAGAAAACTAAGATCATGGCATCTGATCCCATCCCTTCATTGGAAATAGATAGGGAAACAGTGGAAAAAGTGTCAGACTTTATTTTGGGGGGCTCCCAAATCACTGCAGATGGTGATTGCAGCCATGAAATTAAAAGACACTTACTCCTTGGAAGGAAAGTTATGACCAACCTAGACAGCATATTAAAAAGCAGAGACATTACTTTGCCAACAAAGGTCCATCTAGTCAAGGCTATGGTTTTCCCAGTGGTCATGTATGGATGTGAGAGTTGGACTGTGAAGAAAGCTGAGTGCCGAAAAATTCATGCTTTTGAACTATGGTGTTGGAGAAGACTCTTGAGAGTCCCTTGGACTGCAAGGAGATCCAACCAGTCCATCCTAAAGGAGATCGGCCCTGGGTGTTCATTGGAAGGACTGATGCTGAAGCTGAAACTCCAATTTGGCCACCTCATGCGAAGAGTTGACTCATTAAAAAAGACCCTGATGCTGGGAGGGATTAGAGGCAGGAGGAGAAGGGGACAACAGAGGATGAGACGTTTAGATGGCATCACCAACTCGATGGACATGGGTTTGGGTAGACTCCGGGAGTTGGTGATGGACAGGGAGGCCTGGCGTGCTGTGGTTTATGGGGTCACAAAGAGTCGGACATGACTGAGCGACTGAACTGAACTGAAGCTGGCTCTCTTTCTCAGGGACTTAGGCTCCTTCTAGGTCACCATGCCACACTTTGTGTATTCCCCTAGATATTAAAGTCCAAGATGGTATTTACATTCCAGGAGGCAGGATGGAGAAAAGTCAAACACAAGGTACAAAGACTGTGTGTCAGCTGTATGTTCAAGGAGATTCTAGGAAGTTGTCATGTTAAGCCTTCCTCTTGTATCCCAATGGCCAACTCAGTCACATGGACATGGTATGTGATTTGGGAAGATATTATTTGTACCTCGGTGGTGAGGTGGTAAAGACTCTGCCTGCCAATACAGGAAATGCGGATCTGGTCCCTGGATCTGGAGGGGAGATTCCCTGGATGAGGAAATGACAGCCCACCCCAGTATTCTTGCCTGGAATATTCTGTGGACAGAGGAACCTGGTGAGCTACAGTCCATGGGGTGGCAAAGAGTCAGACACTGCTGAACATGCACACATGCATGTATTTGTACACAATAGGAAGCACGATTTTAACTTGGTGTCCCAATGCTTTGCACAGTGCCTCAGGGAGTACGTGCTGAGGAAATACTTGTTAATGAAAAGAGTAACCAAATTAACAACTGAACTCTGATAAAATAAGGATCAGAAATCTTGAGGAAAATTTTGAAAAAATCTAAAACCTTTAAATCTGAAAGAGTGATGGTCTCAGACAGCTGATATGGACTTGGAACTCACTCTAGCATCTTTGTGACTGTTTCCCAGGTATTTCATGAAAATATTTTGGCAGTCCTATGTCTGTTTCATTTTGGCACATTTTAGATACCAGGAAGACATGTCAGGAAGAAATAAATATGGAACATCTCTGAACTGCTCTGTCTGTAGGCAGCTTTCTCTTGATTAAAAATTGGTTAGAAACAGTGAGTCAGATTGCTTCCTTCAAGACAGTTAAACAGCAGGCTTCTATCTACTAAAGAAGTGGGAAATTCTTAAATGAACAGAAATTAAGCTTTACAAGCATGACCCAGAGGGTATCTTAACACTTATTGAATTTAAATCAAGAAACATAAAGTCTTCTCTTGTAAATGCCAGATGTGTTGTCTTCATGAGACTGTGTCATGGTAAATGCAGTCACATACTGTGTTACTTCACACCTCCTTTAGAAAGTTACCAGTATTCACAAGAAATGGCTTAAATTCCCTCACTTTCTTCTTCCCCACGGCCTTGCTGAGAACACTCAAAAACTCTTACTTAGATTCATTTATGCATATTTCCAGCTGCTAGTATTTCAGTATTCATCTGAATTCTCCTAAAGTAAAAGTCCATATACTGAATGTCCTATAAATGTCTGAAGTAATTTAACTGGAACAAGGTAAAATCAGAGGCAATCTAATGAAGCTTTGCACAAATCTTCAAAGCACTGAAAGATTTCCCATCACAGAAAGCCTAACTATATTTAGGCTACTGTTCTTAATTAGAGGAAAAACTAGTTTGTGTTGGTCTTGATCAGGGTAGCAATGCCTGGTAGAAGGAGCCAATTTGTTGTCCAGGGTAGCTAGACTCTATAAGAGGATATCCAGTGATTCCTGGACAGGTCAGAGGTGCTTCCTGGATGAATATCAGACAGGTGGGATTGCTCTCTCTCAAGGACTTCATTTTGTATGCCACTTATCATACACTGAGCTGAGTAAGTCAATCCCTGAAGCCACTAGCTCATTAAGAGGCTAATGACACTCCAAATCTGGGGAGAGCTCCATAGTCCTTGTGAAATAAGAACATTATAACTGATACAAATAGAATCTCTATATCCATAGAGAATGTTATATTTGAATCTATAAGGGGATAGATTTGGTTCTTTCTAGGGGGCATCTTTCTAGAGGGTTATCCTCAAAGGAGTGAGATGAGAGTAAGAGATTACAATCACTGCCTATCTCAGCTAAACAGTGGTTTATTCATCAACAAAGATCTTGAATGTACCAGGATCTGCATCAGGATATAGAAATGAAAAAAGCATAATAGCTAAATTAAGGAAGTTTGACCTATTTTCAGAGAAGCATGCAATTTATTATTATACCATGAAGGAAATGTGCTAACAGGATCATACACAAGGGATTATAGCAGTAATCCCTTATTATTGGGACAGATACAGAGGAGACCTAACTGAGCTTTGAGTGGTGAGTTAGTAGGTTAAAAAGGTTTCCAAGAAGTGGGGTTTCATCTCAGTCTCAAGAAGAATGGGACATGATCAATTGGACAAGCCAAGAGGTAAATGTTAAGTAAAATAAATAGCAAGAGAAAGTGTGGAGCAAAGAGCACAAAAGAAAAATCACAAATCACAAAGTGGTTTGAAGTAAACACACAAGGCGTGACTGTGCGGGGAGATGAAGCCGGAGGGATTGGTCATATACTAAGTGTTAGTGTACACCGTGTTGAATGTGGTACAGCTTATTTAGATGTATATTTACACTTAAGTGAATTCAGAGCAGAAGGGAAGTTCAGACTCATTTTCAATATAATTTTAAATTTTATCAGTGGCATAACTTTAAAATGTTGCAATATTCTGATCCTGTGAGATGAAGGATTCATTACATCAAGTTCTTTTGACTTCAAGAGTACTTCTATGCCATCAATAATCATTCAGAGGAAAACTGAATCAGTTACCAGAAAGAAAACTGCCCCAGATGTGGCACCTCATCAGACTTCCCATCTTAGTGTAAGGTGGAGTTTGGCAGAGTAAAAAGGCAGGGCAGATAAGTTAAAATGGGTTCCTCCATTCCCTCCGCAACTTACTTACATGTATGAATAATAATGGAGGGTAGCATAATAAAACTTTATTCAGTGATTTTAGAGTTTCTAGTATATATATTTTTATAACCCTATAAGACAGACTAGGGAATTTTAAGACAATTTTAGTTTATCATGTCTCCTTACCTGAGGTAATAGTAAGTTTTTAATTTAACCTGTAACTTTTTCTGGCTGCATTCAGTCTTAGTTGCAGCATGTGGTCTTTCCTTGTGATGCACAGACTCTCGAGTTGTGGCATGCAAGCTCCAGAGCACGTGAGCTCACTAGTTCCCAGTATGTGAGACCTTAGTTCCCCAACCAGAGATCAAACCTGTGTTCCCTGCATTGCAAGGTGGATTCTTAATCACTGGACCACCACGGAAGTCCTTTTAACCTGGAACTTGATACAGAAAAAATGTCTAATTAATCAAACAGATTGTCAGGTGGAAAATAAGTCTCCATCAATAAAATGCATGCATGCTCAGTGGCTTCAGTCATGTCCGACTCTTTGTGACCCCATGGTCTGTAACCCACCAGGCTCCTCTGTACATGGGATTATCCAGGCAAGAATACTAGTGCGGATTGTCATTTCCTACTCCAAGTGATCCTCCTGACCCAGGGACTGAATCGGCATCTCTTGCATCTCCTGCACTGACAGGCGGATTCTTTACCACTGTGCCACCTGGGAAGCCCCCGACCTACTAAGTATTAGGTCATTAACTCAGTCTCCATACTGAATCATATTCTTATATCAGTTCCTTAGAATTTTTAGCCTTTGGGTATGCTAAGCTTCAGTTGGAATTATTTAGCGAGTGGTTAGATATATGCAAAGAGTTTTATGCTTTAGAAACATTCTTGTTTTATCAAAGTGAAAAGATAAATATCATACATGTTGAAAATGTGAAAATGTTTCTGAGAGCTGCCAACTCTTTGGGTGCCACCAAGTTGGGTGGCATAAGGTAAATAGGAAAAAGAACGCTTATCAATTTTGTCAAAGATTATCTCTGACTTTCAAAATAGAGATAGGCATGGGTGTGGTTTGGGGAATCCATCCTTCAGGCAGCAGCTACAAAGTCTGGGGAACCAGATGTGTTAGTAAGCTCCTTCCAGGGAGATATTGGCAGCTTCGTTTTATCATAATAGAAAGCCAGAAGGAGAAGGTGAGGAAAATGTCCACATTTTCTTGTTCTCCAGGGCGGATCACAGCCCCTAGATGTGTGCTAAAATTAGAAGTCAGATCCTCAGGCAGAGCTTGTAGGATATGAAGGTAGACCCCTTGTAGGAAGCGGCTGAGAGATGAGAGGTTTTGCCTGCTCTCCCTCTGCTGAGTCCTAGGGGATGGTAGTATTAATACATGCTTCATCTGGCAGCAAATTATGTTCAGACATAGAGACTGCTTTGTCAATAATTTGTCTAGCACAGGTTCACTGCAGGAATTGTAATAATTTCACAAGCCAGTAGTATATGGGATAATGTCTCTTAATAAGCCAATAAAGAAAGAATCTACTCCAAACCATCAACAGACTAATCACAATACTGTTTCAGGCAAGGGGAGATAAAAGGAATAAAGCCCAAATTTAGTGAAGGAGTACCTTTCTAGGCATTGTTCTTGGGAGAGCTGGCTTAGCTAACTGTGAGCTGATGTCCAACTGCTGGTGCAAAAGCAAAAGTCCATTGTTGCTAGGGTTGTTGCTAGGGTAAAAAGATGCCAGCTTTGATGGGAAAGATGATTTTCTTCTTGGGGCCTCTGCATGGTTTTCACCACTGCTGGCAAAGAATCACCTTGCCCAGCCAGGAGCTAGTGCCCCAAGGTCTTTGGAAAGTTATTTCAATTAGCAAGGAAAAGTTGCCTTCCCCAGGCTAAACACTTTTCAGTTGCTGGTCAAACCTCTTAATATTTAAAGCTTAAAATCCTCTATCCAGAGTCACTCTTTCACAAAAGTTCTTTTATTTAAAAAAAAGATTTATTTACTTAATTTTTTGGCTATGGTGGGTCTTTGATGCTGCTCACAGGCTTTCTCTAGTTGCAGTGAGTGGGGGCTACTCTTGATTATGGCGCACAGGCTTCTCTTATTGTGGAGCATGGATTCTAGGTGGTAGGCTTCAGGAGTTGCAGTACATGGGCTCAGTAGTTGAGGCTCACTGGCTCTAGAATACTGGCGCAGTAGCTGTGGTGTATGGACTTTGTTGCTCCGTGGCCTGTGATATTTTCCTGGACCAGGGATCAAACCTGTGTCTCCTGCACTGCAACATGGATTCTTAACCACTGGGCCACTAGGGAAGTCCCCAAAGTGCTTATTTATCAATAAGCTCCCAGCTGTGCCTGTCAATAGCTGATGCTATTGACATCATGCTAATGATATCCTGACCAAGTTTTCTCAACGTAAACAACTTCATTAGAACAAAAAGCAAGTGGATTTTGAATCATATCAAACCAATACCCAACAGTGCACAAGTGTGAGCATGCCTGTTAAGAAGCGCTCCTTTGTTTACCATAGTCTTATAGGTCTCATGGACATAAACCATGTTGGCTTTCAGGACTGAGTGTTGGGGGGGCCTCTCCCTCAAGTGGAAGTGTTAAAAGTAGGGGCACCAGATGTGCAGTCTGAATCCTTTGCTTCTGAAGGTGACACCAGGAGTTGGGTATTCCCCCCCAATTGTATGCCATGGTGCCAAGATTGGGTTGTATTGCCAAGGCATGTCTCAGCTTTTCTTACCTGTTTCAATGTGGTATATTCTCATTTGCCCAATGTGTAGGAGTTGCTCAACTAGTTTCTTGGTTTCTTTCAGAGGAAATGGTTCCATGGATGCTTGTAAATTTGGCATGCCTTCCCGTGAAGGAGTTCAGGAGCCTTCAATACTGTCATCGCGGTGGACCTCAGGCAGGGGATGGATTTAAACTGAAGTCTCACATAGCTCAAATTAACCCAACAGTGACTGGGAAATCTCAAAAAGTGCAAATACAGAGCGAGGCTCCTGACTTTACATCTCAAAATAATCGAGAATATTCCTGTATTATTTCCTCCACATTCAAGTAGTTCTTTCTCTTTGTATTTCACAAATCCATTCTTTCCCATTTTAACTACAGTTGACCCCGAATGACATGAGATTGAACCACACAGACCCACTTACATACGGATTTTTTAAAATTAATATATACTACAGTACTACACAATCCCTGTTGGTTGAACCTGAAGATGCAGAGCCATAAGTAAGGAGCTGACTGTAAAGTTATATATGAGTCTCTGACTGCACAGGGAGTCAGTGCCCCTAACCCCCATGTTGTTCAAAAACCAACAATATTGTCAATTTCACTTGGCATTTTTGTTTGTTTTCTTCTCAGAACAGAATCTAAGAGACAAAAAATGAGGCATAATCTCCCACGCTGCAGCTGATGAAGGTAAGCTTTTACCTAGATTCTCTGTGGTTTCACATGAAATCAGAGACATTGTGTAGATACCTGAGCTCATAACCAATCCTTCTGAAGTGGAATCACTAAGTTGGGGCTTAAAAATATGTAGAAGCTATGTGGAAAACCTCTTACTGAAATGAAGCAGGACCCGGTGGCCCTTGCCCCCTATGTCTTCAGCCTGCCTTTTGTCTGTGGAAAACTTTACCCAAAGAATGAGTTTAATCAAAGAAATGAGAACATGCAGAAACAAGGGAAAACGGTCAAAAAAGATCAAATAATATTAGTGTAGTCGTTAAGAATCATCAAGGACCTTTTATTCCTTCCTAGGTGCTATAGATAAGCTTCTGAGCCGTCACTGGGGAGCTATCTTCTATCTTATAGATACTGAAACCCCCCAAGGTGGAGGAGTTAACTACACAATGAGCAGACTGTGGCCACGACAAAAGCTGCCACAGTTCTGAGAACTGGCTTCAAAGAAATGGAAACACACTGACCCTGAAACTGAAGACAAAGTGCACCTAAAATAAAATGATGCTGATCAGACCACCTATGACCAATTTCAAGATAACTGTCAGAGCTGACTATGCTGTCTCTGCATGCATCCCCCTCCCTCAGACTACAAAACTCTTGCCCACTGATTGTCAATTGGGGGGAGTGGGCCTTTGGACCGAGGCCCGCCTCCCTCTCTCTCCTAGTTGCTGGCATCCAAAATAAAGCAAACTTCCCTTTCCACCAGCTTGGCCTCTTTATTAGCTTTTGCGCAGTGAGCAGCTGACCTGAGTTAGGTCACATTATTATCAGAGAAAAGCCCTCCGGCTGCTAACTTATTCATTTGTTAACAAATCTTTAATAATGCTTAGCAGGCCTGGTGCTCACCCTTGGGAATTCAACTGTGAATAAGAAAGGCAAAATCTCTGTCCTCACAAGGATTATACATTTGGGTGGGGTTGAGAAATTATATACCAGTAAACAAATAAATGGCTATAGAACTTCAAGTTACAGCATGTGCTTTGCTGATGCCTACCAGCCAAAGACCACAGAAAGCACACTCCCACAAAATTGAGTTTGCCAGTGCTGGAAACCTCATTCAATAGAAAATCATAGATCCCAATAAGAGAGTATATGTATCGGCCCTAGTGGCTAAGACAGTAAAGAATCTGCCTGCAGTGCAGGATACCCAGGTTCAGTCCCTGGGTTGGGAAGATCCTCTGGAGAAGAGAATGGCAACCCATTCCAGTATTCTTGCCTGGAGAATTCCATGGACAGAGGAGCCTGGCGGGCTACAGTCCATGGGGTCGCAAAAAGTCGGGCACAACTGAAGTTCTAACACTTTCTTTTTAGACAGGATTTAGACTTGTGATTTGAGGACTATTCTGAAAGTGTGGTTTTACTCTGCTTTGGGTGTTTTCAGAAATTGAGGGTAATTTTTTGACTAGATATGATGGTGGTTTTACGCTAGAGGTAGAAAAATAGAGCTTAGTTAAAGGGGCCTCAATCAAATTATGTGGAAAGGAAGATGTTTGATCATTTCTGTGGTTTGTGGTGTTCTTGTTTTTGATTTTGCTCAGACACAATTACAGAGTGGTCTTGTTTATTGTCTTTTGCCATCAGGGTTAGAATGACCCTGTCTGAAGTCTTATACTATGAAATCATTTAACAGGAGGGCACCGTAGCCTCACTGCCGGTGCCAGGACAACTCCCAGTTGATTGCTGTCAGTCGCTGCTTTTCTTTTATTTTTCACATATGAAGGAAAATAAAGTAAGTTAGATGAAATGAGATGGAACGCATTCAGGGAAGTATGGCTGAGGACCAATAAAGAAAGTTAGATGGATGTTGACTCAGGGATAAAGGTTATTTAAGAAAAGTCCTCACTGTATGCATATCATGTGTGCAGAGATCTAAATGATGTGAAAAATAAACTATGAGGAGGTCTGCAGAAGACCGTAGCAATTAAAATAATGGTTGAGGCATAGCAAGGAGGCTGAAAAATGCAGTGCCTGAAATAAGTTAGCAATACATTTCTCTTTCAAGTAACAGTCTGGTTGACCCAGGGTGGTGAGGCAGATTTGGTCCATAGCATTGTTAAAAGATTTAAGCTCTATTGATCAATGTCATCTTCAAGAGAATTGTATTCATTTGTGTGGTTAAAATAAATTCACATTTAAGACCAAAAAAAAAAAAAAAAACAAAACCAAAATAAGGAAAAAGTCAAAGTTCAGGGAATGAAGTTTCTCTTTAAGTTATAATAGACCCACAAGTTATATTTTTACATTTTTTCTACCCATTACCTGTTGACTCCACCTTAGGCATTCCTATGAAAAGGGAGGCTTGTCTTTTAGTGGGTGTCCTGTGTCCAGGAAAAAAGATTTTTAACTAGAAGGGCTTTCCAGGAAAGAAGTTTCAGCATCTGTAAAGGCTCTGGAGCAGAACAAACTGGATATGTTAAAGGAATGACAAGAAGGCCAGTGTGACCAGAGGAAGTGAAGCCACTCAGTCATGTCTGACTCTTTGCGACCCGTTGGACTGTAGCCTATCAGGCTCCTCCGCCATGGGATTTTCCAGGCAAGAGTGCTGGAGTGGGTTGCCATTTCCTTCTCCAGGGGATCTTCCCAACCCAGGGATCGAACCCAGGTCTCCCATATTGCAGGCAGATGCTTTACTGTCTGAGCCACCCAGGAATCTCTGAGACCGGAGGAGGATGAGCAGAATTCAGTAGAGTAGACAAATACCAGAGCAGTTCAGGCCTTTCATGACAAACTATGATTTTATTCAAAGTGAAATGGAGGGAGCTCCCTGGCAGTCCAGAAGTTAAGACTTCACCTTCCAGTGCAGCGGGTGCAGGTTCGGTCCCTGGTCAGGGAGCTAAGATCCCACATGCCTCTTGGCCAAAAAAAAACCACAGCATAAAACAGAAGCATTATTGTAACAAATTCAATAAAGGCTGAAAAAAATGGTCCACATTAAAGAAAAAAAAGTGAAATGGAAAGACATTGTGGGGGATTGAGAAGAGACATATGGCATATAATCTAATTAATATTTTTTAAAACCTTGTTCAGCTATATGGATGTAGATAAACAGAAAGACAATGAGAAAGTGGCTAGGAAGAAATTGTCACAGTCCTGCAAGAGGGGGAATTCTGCAAATTAAAGCAATAATGATGAATGATGTGGCAAGAAGCAGACAGATTTGAGATGTCTTTTGAATGCAAAGCCAGCAAAAGTTCTTAATAGATGAAATCCCAGGTTTGTATTAGAGTGTGAGTGCATGCTCAATCACAAAGTCACGTCTGACTCTGAGACCCCATGGACTATAGCCCACTAGGCTCCTCTGAACACGGGTTTGTCCAGGAAAGAATCCTGGAGTGGGTTGCCATTTCCTTCTCCAGGGGATCTTCCCAACCCAGGGATTAAACCTATGTCTCCTGCTTGACAGGCAGATTCTTTACCTCTGAGCCACTTGAGTGGTGGCGTGTTACCGAGAAGAGTTAAGAATTATGACTAGATTTTTTTTTTAACCTCAGCAGGTGGTAGGACCATTTACTGACAAGCAGAAATAAAGCAGTGAACCTCAGAAGAGACAGTTCCTCCATTGAAACGGAACAAAGGGTAAATGGGGATTGTTACATTCAGTTGTAGGGAAATGATATAATTTTCTCCTTATTGCTTTGAATTTTAGGTGAGATCATTGGAAAGGCATCTGACACATGTGAGGAGAAGGAAGAGAGTTGCAATTCAAGGAAAAAGATAAGATATAAAACAACCAGTAGAGAAAATTAGAGGCAAAATTTATCGGGCAAATGAAATAGGGATATTGGGCAGTACTAAGCACCCACTTGAGATTTGGGATCACAGATTTTAAGTATGTCTCTTCAACAAGTTGGGGGTTTTTTCTCCAGCTATGTTCAGCTTCTCATGGAAGGTCAGAATCAATGGGAGATTTCAGTTTAACTAATGGTGTTTCCATAGGCTCATATAAGGTAGAAGGACAGGATGTTGAGTGTAGTAAGATAGTGATTTTTGTTTTGGATGATAGAATCTAAGCTAAGTAAAGTGTAAAGTGAGAGTGTGATTCCTAGTTAAAAAGTGAACAGAGGTGGGCAATAGATTAAGTGAGATCATAAATGGTAGAGTGAGAATCATAGATTATATGAACTGAAAAGAGAAGATGACATGGATAGAGGGAGCAGAGTGTTTGAAATTGAGATTTTTGGAGAAGTTGAATTTATTGAGAGTATAAGTTCTATAGCATGACTGTGGAAATGATGGGATGAGATGAAATGGTTAAAACGTTTATTATTGGAAGTGAAGATGTCAGGGACTGAGGGGGCGATTGTGGAGGGATTTTGCCCATGTAGGTGAAACTCCTCTTGGATAATGAATGAAGCAAGTAATAGGAGAGCAGCTGTTGTTGAAAATGCCAAGGGTTAAACCATGAAATTGTGTTATGCTCTGTGGTTTTTTGAAGGAGAAAGGAAAACCCGTATGAAAGTGGCTAGAAGAACTGTTAAATGTAGTGTGGTTAATATATTCCAGGCACTGTCCTAAGCATTTTATGCCATATCAGACCACTTTGCCCTCGCCCAGATCTGACATTTTGTAGCTGAGGGGACAGAGAGGTGTCCAAGATTACTAGTGAACAGTGGGGCTGAATCTGGGCATTCCAACTTCAGAGTGGACACTCTTAATCACTATGGAATAGTTTCCTTTTTAGGATCAGCTCCTTGGGCACTTTTTAATATTGAAGCTGATAGCATTGTAAAAGATGGTAGGGAGGTGGTTATGAGAAATCATGATTTTCCTAGAAAAAAACTCAGAGATCAGTGGACTACACTTAAACCCTACTAAGTGGAGTTTAGCCTACAGCAGGGAGTGCTCTCAACTAAAGGACATAGAGTTCTCAAAACTCCTTAATTCCAGAATAACTCAAAACCTGGTTATCTTCCTTCATAGATGACTATGGGACTTGGTTGCAGTGCTGTAAATAGAGGTCCTCATAGGCCACCTGTCAAAGCAGGAGTCTAGGAGACCACTGTTAATGGTGGGTTGAGAGGACTATGAGGGTTTACAAGACCATAACTACAGTCTTAAAGGAAATTTATGAGGAGTTATTTAAAGTATTCCTTTTGCCTCAAAAATGTTCTCCTAAGTGGGAAACATATTAGTCACACAAATTCCACAGTGAGGTTAAAAATAAAGCTATCATTTACTGAATGTGAGGGGGAAAAGTGGATAAGGGTAACTATTCTAAGGGAAGTAAATTTGCAAAGAAGCATAGTTCTGATGGCTGTTGTCTTTTTATTAGCTGTTAAGTTCATTTAACAGAAAAACAAATTCAGTCTAAGATCATTCACTAAGATAAGCATAATTAACAATAATCCATTAATCATTCTTTGAAGATGGTCCTATTTTACTTCTATTACCTTCCCCATAGCTGAAATTAATGAGTGAGTCTTGGAAAAGAGCATGTGTTTCAGTTCAATAAAACATTCAAATAATAAAACAGGTATTACTTTGTTCTGGGTTAATGACAGGTAGGCTAAACTTTGCAGTACAACTGTTCTAATAGCTTTTAATTTGGTTTATAATGGCAAAAATTTTAACTGTTTTGACAACCCATTAAGTGCTTTGCAAAATGACAAAACATTCTATGTGACTTAATTAATATCTACTCCAATTATACACAACACTTCATGCTCAAGATCTAGATTTATTTTAAAACATTTAGTCCAATTTATAGTAATGCAGAAAAAAATCACATCTAATAAACCACAACTGTAGAAGAGACAAAACAATTGTGCTCTCTCACATTTCCACACAAATATAATTTGATATTTCATTAAAAGAAATCACAATCACATGTAAATAAAGTATTTATCCTCTCAGTAGTAGTAAGAACCTCTTTTGAGTATGTAAGGTCTTCTGGGTTTATTCTCATAGAGCTGCCGTTTCAGAATGTAAGGAATTTTTCTCTTTATCACTTCTTCCTTTTCATTTTTGTCATTTCCAGCATCAAGAATGTCTTCCTGAATCAACTGCAAGATAGACAGAATATGAATCAAACTTACATGCATAAAGTCTTCCATTTCAAAGTGTTTCATCTACCTTTTATCTCATTTGCATTCAGACAGTAAGACATATGTTGATGATGTGGTTCATAGCAATTAAGTGTTTTGCTTAAGGACAGGTAGATATCAGGTGGCTGAGAGGATGAAAACATGATTTTTTTATTCTCTGTTTAGTGTTCTCCCTAGTTCATCAAGCTAGCTTTAAACTTTTTTTTTATTTGTCAAGGCCATATTAATACCTCCAAATTAAAAAAAAATGCACTTAATGTTACTTTCAGTTTTTCTTCAATGTATGATAGATCAAAAGATGGAAATATATCATAAATCACAACAAATATAGAGATTTGAATTTAGTAAACCAAGTTTGGCCTCAAAGGTCAATAGAAATTTACATTCCATTGTTAATTATTTGAATTGAAAGCCATTCTAGAGATCCATTTCTCAGTCATAGAGAGAGGAATGCTTGTTCTGCTTACTTGCTCAGCTGTTTTAGAATTAACATGTGAAAGCTCTGTTTAAGTGTTAAACATCTTTTGTTTGTGCTGCTTTAATTAATCATTAAAATCAAGTTCACATTCAAAAACTCAAGGGAGTTAATCTTCATGTAGAATCTTGCTTAATATCTCATTGAACGTGCTATATTCTAAAATTAGTTCCAAACACTTTTTCAGATAGTACTGCTCTGATTCAAAATGTTCAACCAGCATAAAATATTTAGAAACTCTTCCCAGAGTTTTGCACATGATTTACAAAAAATTTTTAAACAAATCAATGCTAATGCTCAATATAAGAATTATATTCATATTTGTGATTGTCTAAACTTTGGGGTGACTATAACTAGTACTAATAGGAGACCAAGTTTTTAATCATAGTCTGTATGCAGTGAATCATATCACAAATACTTTATTTCAACCCACAGCTATTCAATTTCAGAGAAGGAAAAAGAGCTACTGTCAGACAATCTAGTTTCTTAATCTTTTGTTTCTCTGTGCACATAGTCTGTAATTATTTGTACCACACTCTGAATAATATTATCATTTCATTTTAATCACTCTATAACATTTCAAATAGCAAAAGTTTTAATCTTATGTGCACCTGATTTTTGTGTATTATAGTTTATTAAGGATTTTTTTTCTGAATAAACAACACATAATTGACATTTCCCAATTTTCCATGTTTTATTGACATAATAGTTTAAAGAGAAAATCATTTAACTGGAATTGGAGTTAGAGGATAAACAGTCCAGCAAGAAAAATTAAAACCAGTTTTTTCATTTTATTTTAATCTGGAAAATATTTTTTTTTGGTTTACAAGTTAGAATAAATTCTAGAAGTTCTGCACTGCATTTCTTCTTTTCTACAGGGTATCTCTGTGATAGTGTGATAGAGATGGTTATATTAGCAGGAAAGGCACCCTCAGATCCCCCATGTTGGTGTAAATCCTGAATATGAAACATGAAGTAAATTTCTCTTAGGGGTTAATCTGAAAAAAATGTTTCCATTGTTGGGAAAATTATAAATTTTGTTAAATCATTTTCATCTGCCTTTTCTCCTTCAAATATTTTCAAACCGAAGGTGGTGAGTCACCAGTGTAGTATTTTTAAAATTTTTAATTTCATTTTTTAATTTTTAATTGAAGGAGAATTGCTTTATGCTTTTGTATTGGTTTCTGCCATACAACAATGCAAATCAGCCATAAGTATATACATACATCCCCTTCCTTTAGAACCTCCGTTCCACCCACCCCCATCCCACCCCTCCAGGCCATCACAGAGCACTGGCTGGGCTCCCCGTGTTATATAGCAGTTTCCACTAGATGTCTGTTTTACACATGTGGTGTATAATATACATCCATTCCTTCGTTGTAGTTCTGTATAGTGAAATTTGGCTTTATTAGCCATAGTGAATCTAATTCAGCTTCTAAGGAGGATTGAAATCCATAATCCACACATTCAATTAAAATAGAAATAGAAGTATAAATGGAAATATATAAATATATATTCTTATCATTCCAGTTTTATTTACCTAATATTTTCAAATACTAATGAAATCTTTTGTGTTCTGTGTTTATTTATAAACAAACATACAGGACTTAGTGTTTCTAAGAAAACATTTTGAGTTTCCTAAATTTCTTCGGTATGCCTCTACCACCACCAGCACCAAAAGTTGCCTAAGCACGCCTTCCACAATAAAAGCATGTGGATCAAATCTGCCTTAAGATAGACCCCCCTTTAGAGACCAAAGAAAAGATATTTTGCTAAACTTCAAATATTTGCAAAACACGTTGCAGATCTGAAGGAATGTTAACCTCAACACATGGTTTATTCTTCCTTAATATTCGTGAGTCTTCCTGTTATGATAATTATCAGGATTAAAACAATCAGTATAAATGAGAGTTAACTAGTATAACCATAATCATATTCATATTTTGCTTTTGTTTTACCTCCCAATGTTGAAAGGCCCTGCTGTGACAGATTTTTCGGAGCTGGTATATCGTCAACATTGCTTCCAAGCTAAAGCCATCTAAGGCAGCAGGAAATTTCCTTCTTGTAATAAGCTCCTCCTCATGAAACTCTCCTGTTTCCTCAGCTTGGCTGTTCAGGTTATTTATAAGACTGCAGACATTCAGCAGGCTCATTTTCCAAGAGGGAACACTTGCCTTACTGATCTGAAATGTAGAAAGAAATAGCTGTTGTAATTAACCTTGTGTTGTATGAGTTAGAAATAAATTTCTACTGTGCTAAGCCATTACCTTTTAGGATCTAACTGTTACTCTAACCTAACACTGTTATTAACTTAGTAACTTCATATCACAAAGTTGAATAGCTCCAAATACTTCATATCCTCTATTTAACAAAGGCAATAAAGCTAACACACATAAACACACACATACACAAGCACAAGAAAGAAAGAAAATAGAAATTACAGTAAGGAGAAATGCATAAATATATATGTATACATTACAGGTGAAAATATTAAAATACCACTCTCTCTTTTTATACTTCAGGTTAGTGTCTAATGGAACAGTAACTATAATGATACTAATAAATATGGCAATTATAGTATTGTGAGACCACAAATCTCTTCCACACATTAATAGTTGTCATAGGTAGCATCAAAGCTGACTAATTTATTTATCTGAAAATTATAATATTTTCTAAAATAACTATCCTTTTCTAATAAGACCCTGTATGAAATCATTATTACCATAGTAAACAACCTTCTCATTTGCCAATTTTAGGAGAAATTAAATGTGAAACAACATAAAAATTAATAAACCTCAAAGGACACAGATGAAGGAAAGCATAAATTTTTTTCCTAAGGAATATAAAAATTTTTTTGTAATGAACACAAAGCTGTGATAAGAAGACTCAAAAACATTAGTATCGATTCTATTGGTGCCAATTCTCTCTGAACTATTCTGCAAATGCAGTGCCATTGCAAATCAATGTACCAATCTGGACAATATGGGGAAACTGGAAGAAGAGGGAGTGATGGAAATAACTGTGAAGTTAATTTCGAAGTATGGATGTGTGAGAACCAAGAAAATTTAGGAAAAGAAAACGGTCATGAGGGAGGACGTACTCTGCCAGATATCGAAAGATATCTTAAAGCGGTAGTAATCAAAGAGTAATCGAGAAAGCTGAGCACCGAAGGACTGATGCTCTTGAACTGTGGTGTGGGAGAAGACTCTTGAGAGCCCCTTGGACTGCAAGGAGATCCAACCAGTCCATCCTAAAGGAGATCAGTCCTGAGTGTTCACTGGAAGGACTGATGTTGGAACTGAAACTCCAATACTTTGGCTTCTTGATGCGAAGAACTGACTCACTTGAAAAGACCCTGATGCTGGGAAAGATTGAAGGTGAGATGAGAAGGGGACGACAGAGGATGAGATGGTTGGATGCATCATTGACTCAATGGACGTGAGTTTTAGTAAACTGGGAATTGGTGATGGACAGGGAAGCCTGGTGTGCTGCAGTCCATAGGGTTGCAAAGAGTCGGACACGACTGAGTGACTGAAATGAACTGGACTGAATCAAAGAGTAAATCAATAGAGCAAGAATAAATATTAAACTCAAAAGAGAATATAATGTCTAAAATTTGATCCAAGTCCATATGATTGAAAAGCATATAGCAAAGTCTGCATTTGAAGTCCTTGAGACAGCTGGCTCAGGGGAAATCTGGATTTAGATCTAGTTATAACTTTTATTGATATATAATTGTCTAACAATATCCAGATGAGTTAAATATAAGTAAAAATAAAAATATGTAAATATATAGAATTTATTTTATAAATTTGGAAAAATATTGTTAAGCAAATAGCCAAACCAGAACCCATAAAGAAAAAGATAATTTTAACATACATAAATTTGTAAATTATCTCTAGAAAACTAACAGCCTGAACTAAAATCAAAAGCAAGTTATAATGTAAAAGCTGTCACAAAACGCTGATATACTTAACACAGGAGGAGCTCTTCAAAAAGAAACTGGGGAATACTCCATAAAAAATATTAAACCTCAGGCAAATAATATGAGCAGACAGGCACAGAATCACTCATCAAAGAAGAAATATGTCACAGAAATATGTGGAATGACGTTCAGCTTGGCTACTAGCAAATCAAGGATCCTAAAAGTATAAGGACACTCGATGTACTTATGAGGATATGGAGAAACAATACTTTCTCTTGTAAATATTTGTTGGTTTGAGTAAACCTTGCAATAACTTCTTGAAAAGTGTTTTTAGCTATATGTATTAAAATTGTAAATGTGCATACACTTTGATTAAGATTTTATCCTAGGGACATGAAAACCTCCAAGTACAAAGATATTCACTATAATGTTTTCAACCAGTTTAGAAATCCTTTCAACTAGGCCCCTGGAACATGATTATTAGCCCCGTTGCTTCAATTTTTCTGCCATGGGAAACTTAAGAGGCAACATACTTCATTCCATGGTAGCAACAGCTTATGTCTTGCCAATTAAGGCAATGCTAAAATTTTATATTCAGAAAGCTCTTTAGAGATCATCTGAATATTTTCCTTAGAACACTAGCTTTGTACTCACTGTTTTTAAAAAGGAGTTTTGCTGTCAAGTAAATTGGAAAACTTGAGTTTAAAGGAAACTTAAAAGCTTCTTGAATTTAGTATCCCCAGAATTTTTTGCTTGCAAATATTCATTAAAACTTTTCAGTGTGTGTATATGTTAGTCATTCAGTCATGTCTGACTGTTTGCAGCCCATGGACTGCAGCCAGCCAGGCTCCTCTGTCCATGGACTTCTCCAGGCAAGAATACTAGAGTGGGTAGCCATTCCCTTCTCCAGGGGATCTTCCCCACGCAGGGATCGGACCCAGGTCTCCTACATTGAAAGCACACTCTTTACCATCTGAACCCCCAGGGAAGCCAACTTTTCAATGGTGCCAACATAATATCCAGTGCTCCTCAAACTAATTAGCCACAGAATGCTTTATTCATAAATTATTTGTCAGGACTTGTGTTGTCTGATCAATTAATTTTTGGTTGAGAAAACAATAAAGCATCTTGCTTTCTTCTGCCAGTTAAAACAGTCACTATATCACTTAGCAGTACTATTTAATATCACCTTAGCCCCTGTCACACTCTGGAAGCACAGCAGAGAGAGCACTTTGGACCATACGGTATCTAAATAGACACGCATTGATATTTGAGAACATTTCTTATGAGGTTTAAATAGTTTATTCAAGAAAATGACAAAGAGTCTCTCTTTGATGAAATCTGAGTCAGGCTCCCCTGAACCCTCTTTCTGATGAGGTCCTGAACTTGGTCTTTGTCCTTCATCCAACTGAGTCCAATTTTAGCAAGAATCCTTCAGAGTCAAGTTCGTAAAAATGCCTCACTGTTGGTATCTGATCATCCTAGAATTCTGCTGAGCAGTCTAGCAAGAATCCTCCTAGATGCAGAGTTTCCTTTTAGTAATTTTCCATACACTGATCCCCCTCCCCCCACCCCAGCTCTGCTCCTTGGCTGTAAATCCACACTTGTCTTTGTTGTCTTTGGAGTTGAACTTGACCTTTCTACATACTGCAGATAGCTCTCTTTCTTAATAAAACTATACCAAAGCACTAGAATTGGTAATGAAGAGGATTGTATTGTGAGAAAAAAATCCTTTATCTTCCACTTCTTTTCAAACTTGGCCATTTCTCTTGACTTTCTGTTGCTACATTTCAGTGTCTAAACAGTTTTACTTTAAAATTGAAACTGCTCACATATTTTACCTTTAGAGTGGAAAGAAGAAAGCTGGAGTTTTTCAAAGCTTTTAATAATGGAATTATTAATAATGTTACTAATTAATAAATAGTATTAATAATACTGTCCTTTTAAAAATTGAAATACAGTAATTAGCTTAAAATGGTCAAAGGTTAGAGTTTTTATTTGCATAGAATACCCACACCAAACATGAATTGAATCAGAGAGAAATAAGTGGTAGTAGCTTTGTACAAAGCAAGAAATGAGCTTTTTGTTCCCATTTTAGCACCAAAACTGGGATAATTATGCTTCTGAGTGCTTCCTCATAGTAGTCTGTATTTTACTTACTTCAAAGAGGCAATGGGATTCAAATTTTCTTCCATGATCTGTTTTAGAGATATATTCAATAACTGAATGAAAGAGAAATATATAATTGTGTCTACACTTTTGGTATGTATTTTTCTTAAGAATAAAACTAAACCACACCATATACTGGAATTGCTTTCCCCTTGCAGTATCTTCATCAGGGAAGGAATCATAAGCACTCCCACATTTTTGCAAAGTAGCTAGCACTCCCCAAACCATAAAGCATTTTGGAGATTACTTAAGACCTTTATTTATCAATTTAAACTTGAAATCATAAAGGTAAAATCTCTACCAAGACACTAAGGCATACTAATCTGCTTCAATATTCAAATAAGACTATTGACTTAACTTCTCTTCTATTTATGAGTAGAAGTGATTGTAGTCATGGATATTCTGATTGAATATTAAACAAAGGGTCCATTTTCTTAAAGTTAAATATACTTGGTCACTGAGTTTTAATAACTAAATAAAATTTGATCATTTGTGATAGGAAGTCTAACAAGTTATGGTAGAATTTGGTTTCAATGTGTTCAACTTTTATAGATCTGGGCAATTGTGGAAATACCCAAATGTCTTTTAAGGACCATAGTAGAAAATATGTCTGTTAGCTTTCACATAATAATGCCTCACACACTTAAACACACACACAAATGGGTATTTCCCCTTCACATCCACATCCAACTTATATGCTACTTATATGCTAGAGGTATTGCACTGGATATCTGCCCAGTATATCTTTCACCATTTAATTAGGGAAGACCTGAGGTGGCAGGAGGAATTCTGAACACCTACTTTCTTATCACAGCATCTGTGGAATCTGGAGTCCTTAACTTGGGGGCCCGTGTTACCACAGTGATTACACAGGGTGACTGCCTCACTTCAAAATATGTTTTTGATTTTTTGTTTTGTTTTGTTTTGTTGAGAAACATCCTTTGGTTGGGAACCCTGTTCTCTAACCCTACTTTTAGATATATTCTGATTATTTCATTCTGGGTAAATCAAAATTGTATAGTAGCGTGGTACCTGGGTATATTCTAATTTTTGTTCTTAGGTATAGGCTGGAGTCTAAAAACCTTGCTTTCAAGATCCCAAGAGAGGAATAATAAGATCCAGTACAAAGTTTTATCTGATTCAATACAAACAATAAGCAGGTTCCAATAACATTTCTGTTATGGGGAGAATTTAAATCCAGAGGAGGACTTCATGTAAATGTCCCACTCCAGTATTCTTGCCTGGGAAACCTCAAGGACAGAAGAGCCTAGCAGGCTACAGCCTATGGGTTGCAAAAGAATTAAACTTGACTTAGCAACTAATCAATAACAACCAGGAGATCATAAACTCCCACCCCAACACTTAAAAATGAGGACACAAAGGCAAGCACTGTTAACTAACCCCCTTGCTTAAGATCAAATTGTTCATAAGTCACACTTGTAGGCTTAGATCTCCAGGTTGCTGTTTGCTTATCTTTGCTCTTTACTTCCTGTCACATCTCTTTTACAGATTTCACAAACTTTCATTCTTAATTTAGGAACTCCATTTCACTCTCCCCAATATCAAAACAAAAGGCAAAAATGTCACTTAATTTTCATTTATGTGTTTAACTTGAAGTCAGTGTATCTTTCATCATATACAATGTGATTGAAATGGAGAAAGGATTTCCACATAAATAATATGTGACTACTTAATTAAATTTGCAATGTAGTGATTGATATCACTAAACTTCTGTCCCTGTCACATCGATACCTTTAAGCCCTTTGAACTTAAGGAAAAGTTTCCCCCAGAAGAAAATGCCTCCCAATGAGCTTTTCAGTCTCAATGGGAAGCTATTACTATAGGAAAAGGACACCATGTTTATAACAAGAGTTCATATGTTTTCCAGTCTTTGGTTTAGAAAGAAAGAAAAAGTTACCTTTGATGTATGCATATTGGTCAATAAATCTGTTTCTAACGCTTTCATTTCCTCTTCTGAATCTGAGTAAAATCAAAACCACATGTTTACTATATAACCACATATCATATAATTATAACTTGGATAAGTAAGATTAATCTCAAAAAACTTTGTTTTAGAAGTTTATTGTCTTTACTATGTATTTATTCTCCTTATATTAATATTTTTTAAAAAAGCAATACAGTTTTATTTTAGGACAACAGAATAGAACAATAGAAGCACTTTTAAGAAAATAGGCACATGATTTTATGCCAAGAGAGCTCTCAATGATTTGGAGTTGTTTAATCTCTAAATCTCAGGATAATAAAATGTGATTATACTACAAAGATGTCATCAAATATGCTGGTTAATTTTTATTGGCAATAGTTTACATAGGTAGAGTATATACATATTGTTATTTTCAAAGCAACATAATGAAAAGGTGAGTACAAGACGTTTTTTAAAAGACAAAACCAAAGGAAGTTACTTACTGATAATTTTGGAATAAGAAAGACACTGAGATTTGTTTTATTTGAGATGCTATTTTACAAAACACACTTTGAAAGATTTGTTTCTCTATATTAAACTGCTTAAACTCTACTTTTCTCTATATTAAACTACAAGGATTTAGAATTATGTATACTTGGCAATTTTATCACAGGTTATTAAAAAATTATTTAAGCAAAAGTAGAGATGTCCACCAATACATGTACAAGAGTGTTGAAAATGGACTTCTGATATTTTTTAGAACATCCTTTCAGTTTCCACTAAGGAATATTTCACAGAGAAGAAAAATTTGGAAAATACATAAGATAATAGAAATAAAGTTACAGGACACTATAATGAAAATCAGAGCAGGAATTTGAATTTAACATTTTAGTGTCATATTTATGACATTACAGTATAAAACAGGTTAAATGATTTTTGCTACCCTTATCCCTTTCTTTTTCACCTTGATGTGATCATTCAATTATTTTTCAAACATTAGTTGGAGCACATTGCAATCATTATATTTCATATTGCTCTCTAAAATTTGAAATTTATTTTCAAGGAAAGCTATTGATAGATATTTAGCAATGTATGATTTCTTCTTAATTATCACATGCAAAATACTCTATAGGGAAATAATTTTTATCAATATAAGAATGATATTATTCTAGTTACATTATGTATTAACTTAAATGACATGCAAGAAAATAGTGAAATTTGTAATATGTCTACTTGTCACAGAAAAAAGTTACTTAAAATATATTCTTAAAAGAGCTTGGCATTTTTTTGTGTTTTCCTAGAGATCATTTTCTACAAATAATGCTTTATTCAGTTGATTCATTAAACATCAATATTCATTTTAACTTAATCCACACACTATGAAGAAAATAATTTTTGAGAGGGAGAAGCCACCATGTCTTAAGAGAATGAATGAAGATGAGATAAAACATTTCATATAGAATCAGTTTGAATTATGAGTTTGCATTTTGACAGGCACCACTTCTGTACTTTTCACTAGATCAGCTTGATTTAAGTTTTACATATATTTCCCCCAGTGATTACATTGCACACAGGAGCATGAAGTGTCTCATTGAAATCCCTTTTACTACCTAGCAAATTTTAAAAGGGAAAGGAAAATTTTCAGTTCTTGCGATCATAAAGACAGAGAAAGAAAATACCAGTTTCTACCACTAAAAAGCAAATCAGAATAAGGGAGAAACTCTTCTCCCCAGATACATAAGCATTAGCAACAATACATTGCAAAAACAGAAAAAGAAATCATTTCAGGGAGTTGTGAAATGCAGCTGAGCTTACCTGAGCACAGACTCCAGGAGCTGAAAGCCAGCAGTATCATGCACAGCAGCTGGATTTTCATTCCTGCCATCATCTTGAGCCTTCTAGCAAGCCAAGTTCATAAACGTCAGGACAGGCTGAAGGGGGCTCTCTAGCACTTCCTCCTGCCTTCAGCTGACTTTGGAAGTACTGAACTATGAGAGATGCTGTGACCATTCCCTATATATATATGCAGGAGATGATGTCATGAGTATAGAGAGATTATCTCTTCAGGATGTACCCTTCATCTCCAACCCACCCCACTTCCTCCTCCCCTTTCCCTTTGTCCCCTCACACCTCACCCCCACTTCTGAACCTCCAGGATCAGTGACATCTTCCCTAATTGCCACTGCTGCTCCAGATTAATGACGCACAGAAGGAGTCATTCAAAACCAATTCCATATAGAGCATACTGGAAAAGAATTATTATTTCTTTCAGTACTATTATTTCCCCAATTTCCTCTTATTCTCTGACTCTAAGAAGTTGTCATTTTGATTTTGTGAAGCATAAGATCTGTTATTTCTAATGTGAGCAAAATCTCCAGGATGAATCCCAAAGTCAGTAATTCCTTAGGTTTGGAAGTTGTTTAAGAGTTAGGATTCTTTTGAACAAATGTTTTGTGGTTTCAGGACTAATATAGTTCTGCTGTATACTGTTGCCAATATGCTGGAAGAAGAAAGGAGGTTGAAGATAAGCAGAGAAGCAGTTATAATACTATGTTAAGCAAGAGAATTGAGAGAAAGGAGAGAAAACCAATTTTAAGGGAGACTAGTAGCTCTAAGAGTATTATTTCCTAACAAATTGTAAAATCTATACAAGTAACTGGAAGGATGATTGAATTACATATGCTGACTTATGGTTGAATGTTTCAGAAAAATAGTTTCATGTTTACAAAATCAACTATAAATCATTTATGTGTTAGCAGGCAGAAATGTGTATTGCTGCATCACTGACTCCTGTTTTCTGATACTTTCCTCCTTTTCTGTCTGCATTGCTCTGCGCCTTTTACGTTCATTCTTGCTGCCACATCCCGTGTAGTCTGCAACCCCCTTCTCACTGGCTCTCACCATTGTATCAGATCTCTTCCCCCGTGACAGTCACAAAAATGAGACTGCGCTTCTGGAAAGGAGACAATTCGAAATAAACACTGTACACTGATCTTGTTTCTAAGACAGCGTCTTCACAAGAGTTACAATGACACTCATTCCCTCTCGGGGTTCTCAGTAGAAAATTGCTCAAAATGTTTTTTGGAGTGAAGTTTTCTTCTTTCATTAAGTATTTCAGGATATATGACATGATCTGAAAAGATGGCGCTGTTAGAAATGTGAATGTTTGAGGTTAAAGGGTCTGAGACTTGCTCACTTCTGAAACCTATCAGATAGTAACAATCGAGAAAAGACGTCTTGATTAGTACAGAGAGTTGATTTATTCCCTATAGTATATGTCTACGGGGTTGGCTACTCTATTTTACCCTACACGTAAGAAGAGGGACTAATTTCCATCTTTAAATAATTTAAAACAGTCATTCATGTAATTTAATGTTTAGGAATGGCTGATATTTTTTACTACTTTTAGTTTGTTTCACAGGCCTACATGCCACACAGCATTGAACATAACTCACTTTAGGAAAGTTTTTTGTATACAGTGTAATTAATTAGCAAAGAAATGTGAAATATGTACTTTAAATTTTGGCTTTCCCGCCACTAGGGGGCGCAATATAGGTCTGAAAATTTTCTTTTCCCTTAACTGATCATGTTAGAATTCTGAGCATTATGCTTACTTTCTTCTTACTGTTAGAACATCTTTGTGACAGAATACTTTAAGGGCACTTCAATAAATATATCAAGAAATGGTATATTCTTTGCATCACATTTAAATTAGTCATTTTATGAGCTTCTGACTTACAAATATAAAACCTAATCTTTTCAAATGTGTGATAGCAGCCAGATTGTAAAAAGTAAGTGTGATTCCTATTTATCTCAACTGATTTCTTTAATACATGAGGCTCAGGGAAATGTTGGCAAAATTTATCCCTAATTAGTTAGATGAAAAAGGGGGAGAATGGATAATGGGAATTCAATTTGTTTTAAATGTACCACTTTAATATTAGCTGTCAGTGTAGAAATTATTTTAAATACAATAAATCTGGAAGAATTGAAGGAAATGTGTAAACAAATGTCAAATGATTCAAAATCAGATAGATTATATATACAATATTTTTCTTTGTAGGGAAAAGAAGGTGTGTGACTTTTATAGTAAAATTATGATATAGATAAACATCTGATCTTGAAAACAGGTTTTATCTATTTATTTGAATGCATGCATACTTGAATGCTAAGTCACTTCAGTCATGTCCAACTCTTTGCTACCCCATGGACTGTAGCCCCCCCAGGCTCCTCTGTCCATGGGATTCTCCAGGCAAGAATACTGAAGTGGAATGCCATTTCCATAGGTTTATCTAAATAGGTTTAAGGGGCTTTCCAGGTGGCACTAGTGGTAAAAGAATCTGCCTGCCAATGCAGGAGACGAGGGTTCAATCTCTGGGTTGGGAAGATCCCTTGGAATAAGAAATGGCAACCCACTCCAGTATTCTTGCCTGGAAAATTCTATGGGCAGAGGAGCCTGGTATGGATTATAGTCCATGGGGTCTCAAAGAGTCAGAAACGACTGAGAGACTAAGCACAGATAATAACATCTCTACTGTAGGTAGATTTCTGAGTTTCTCCTGTGACTTAATTCAGACCTGTACTAGTTGATTATTGATTTTTAAAAATCAACAGAAATGCCTGAAGGATTGGCAACTGCAAAGATTGGTCTATAAACATATTTAATTTGGAGACGGGAAAGCTCAGGAACTGTTTAGTAAACAGTGTTTCTTCAGTTTCCGGTGATTTCTTCCTCTACCTTTAGAGGTCCAGTAACCCATTTACAAAGAGCTTCCTGGACTCTCAGACCTTTTTATACTTTAGTACCTAAAATTTACCCTGTAGTATTTCTACCATCTGGAATCTTCCTTCCTTCTTCTCTATGACCTCTTTGTCTCTCACTTTCTGACATTATCTTTCATTTTAAAAAGGCTGTATTTTATGGCTTATCAAAGTAAACTTTTCCAAGTTTGAATCCTGAAAATCTCATCTGTTTCTACTCCTTCCAGTTTCTGCTAGCTGTTTGTGGTCAACTGTGAAGGGAAGCAGAAATTACACTCCCAAAATATGCCTCTTTGCTATGTTGATTATCTTGAGCTGGTTATTTTTAAGACACAGCTGAGACAAGGGAAGCTCTGAAAACTGAGGAGAAGTTACCCCGTTTTTAAGGGACCTTTACTTTAATAAGGAGAATCAATCTCCATTTGTAAGGTTAACTTCCTCTCCAAAGGATGCCTGGAAGGGAAGGATGACTGAACCTCTGAAAACCCTCCCCAGTGGAGAAGGCACCAATTGCATAACAATTATACCCTGGTTTACTGTGCTTTCCCTGATAATCTCCCAGTAACAGGCCTTCCCCAAGCCCCTTCCCAACATCTCTTTTGCTTTCAGCTGAGGATGATATTTATTGTGGTGGCTTGGACCATTTTGGGGAGCAGCTCAGTTTTCCTGGGTATCTCCCATGCACACAGGAAGTGTGCCTGGTATTAAACTTCTGTTTGTTAATCAGCTACTGTGGTGCAGAGGGTGGGGATGGGGATCTCAATGAAAACCTGGAAGGGTAGAGGGGAAAAAAATTTTTCCCTCCCCTACAACTGTAATAGGGCTTCACTGGTGGCTTAGATGGTAAAGAATCTGAGGAGATGGCAGGAGACCCGGGTTTGATCCCTGGATTGGGAAGATCCTCTGGAGAAGGGACCAACAACCCACTCCAGTATTCTTGCCTGGAGAATCCCATAGACAGAGGAGCCTGGCGGGCTACAGTTCATGAGATCACAAGGAATCAGACACAAGTGAGCAAGTAAGCACACACACTCAACTGTAAACTTCTAGAAAAAATGGATGCTCACACATTATTATATGTTCCCTTCTTCCAAGGTTTACAAGCTGTAAGTGCTCAATACGTAATCACTAAGTTGAATTGAAATGCTGATTATTTTAAATTTCTAACTTGTTCTCCCATGTTTCCTTTTGTGACATTTCTTCCAGCCACATCTCCAATTTCAATGGCTGAGAATTCTTGTTATCACTAATCTTAATATTTGATATGAGTCTTTAATAGTGAGGTCAATCCTCTCAGACTTCACTCTAGTCATTATTGTCCTCCCTGACTGGGGAAGTCAACTTTAAAAGTATATTTAAGAAATACCACCTGGGATCATGTGCGTTCACCAGTTGAGTGAATCAATTGCGGGTTCACTCCATTCCTCTAAGTGAGTCTCTGGTTTGGAACTGGAACTGTGATTCCTCTCAACAAACAATGATGCCAATCTCTTTGTAAACTCAATTGATTTTTCTGTTCCGTTAAGGTCCATTTTCTAAACAAACAGACAATTAAATGCATTCGCAGACCCACACCCACATATACTGTAGTACACACAAAGCAGGTATAATCCAGCCCTTGGAGAGTTAGGTAAATGTAAACCAAATGTTCCATTTTCCGATCTCTGTGTAATCATGCTTTGCCCGTAATCCCTATAAATTCCCAGCTTCGTTCCCCTTGGCCCTTCCTATCTGTGCTCTTGCATCCGTAGAGGTAATTAACTTGGAAAACTTGACGATGGAGTTCTGCAGCCAAAGCATATTTTGCAACTTGAACTCCAATTATAACACAAGCTTTGCCTGGGATTCACATGTTAATGAGTTGCCATATTTGACTAAGGATTTTCCATATTGTAGTTTCTGCTGATCTCACATAATCTCATTTCTCATATCAGAGAAAACATTGGTATGTCCACAAAAATCACTCCCCTCTATCTGTAAAGCTCCAGCAATTGTCCTTATAAGCTCTTTTTTTGAGTAAGATGGTTAGGTAGTTAGAATAGGAAACAGGAGTCCAGACTGGCAGTGGCTAAAAGACAAGGAAGGGAAAAACCTGTGAAAATAGAACAAAGGAAGGTCCGAGGACCAGAGTGAGGACCTCAGGTAGAACAAACAGCACTCCTGTCTAGCCCAATTTACACAGGGCAGGCCCAGGGGAGAAAAAACGTATAAAAAGAGAAGCTGAAGGGCCAGGGGTCTCTCCCACACACTGG